TCATTAAACCACAATACCGACAAGTGATTAATAAAAGTCAAAAGACCAAAGAGGTCACCTTAATACCAAAAAAAAAACAAAATATTTATTAATTTTAATTATATTTTTTTTATTTAATAATTATATAAACAAGAAGTATAACAACCTAATAAAGTAAACAGATTGTTAACCTTCAAATAGCAGATCTAAGGTTCAAATTCTATAAATAATGAATTTTAAAATTATATTTATATTATAGTAACTGTCTTTTGTTGATCAGTTGAATTTTGTAATCTTAAATACATCAAGTTAAATTTTATTTGACATTAAAAGCTCAAGTTATCTATACAAAATATAATATTATATATACATAAAGGAATATGTTACATAAGACTTCAGTACAAACCTATAATAAGACTACTAGGTATAGAAAACTAAGTAACTAAGAAAACAAAAGTCTACTTAAAAATCCTAAATAAAGAAATAGTAAGTGTCATATATATAAGTTGGTTTAAAAATTATATGACTATAGAAGAGGTAACTATAAAAAGGTCTGACTATAAAAAGGTTTGACTGTAGTTATAAAAGAGAAAATGTCAATAACTCATGATTTACCAAACCAATTTGAATAATTCTACCACTATTAAGACCGGAATAACTTGCTCTATAATATTTGTTAGAAACTCAAGGAAGATTTACTCGCATAAAAAAAACTTTTCATTGTAAACTAGCTGCATTCCAATCCTATAAAAATACTATATTAACTTACGGCAATTTCTATTATTAAATTGCTATTTTTATACCCTTTAACCCCGATTTACCTCTTAACGTTAATGTATATGATTGACTTATGAAAACGATAATATTAGCAATTGTCGCGGATAATTACATGATGGCGAAATTAGATAATCTAATTGGTTAGAGATAGGCAAAATTCTCCTTTTGCCGACCATGTACATGATTAATAAGTAAAACATATTAATCATGCATATTGTAATCCGCATGGTCATCGTAATATGTGCGCACCTGTCCATCTCTAGTTAGGGTTAATGTTAAAGTGATCTGCCAAATTTAACAAATAGAATTTTTTAATTCCCCATCACCCAAATTTCAACAGAAAGAAACGTACCCGATCCAAACTGTGAGTGATTATATTTGTAACATTGGCGGTTAAGTATCATTGTGAAATGATTGTTTATGTGCTGCACACCAGGTGTGGGATTAAGTTTGGATCAGGTACGTTTCCTCCTGTTCCAAATTTCATCACCCAAATTTCACCATCTGCAGTAATAATTCTTAATTTTTCACTAGTTCTGCAACATTTATTATTAATAAAGTGTCGGTTCTCCGCGAAATGCGAAGTAAATTTAGTTATTAATTCTTTCGTCTATCATTTTCTGCAGTTAGTAATTCAATAAAGATAACTATGTTCCGTAATATCGATCTAAACATAATTGCAATTCGTGAATTGAGAATCTCATTAAATTGTAGGTTTTGAAATAAGTGAAATCGATGTTTTACCACCAAAATTGCCAACTCCAGGTTCAATAAATAAGGTCTCTTCGTTTATTTTCGGGTCGATCATTGAAGTACAGACTTTGACCGATGGGAACGCATTAGAAATTACATGAAGTCCTATGAAAAATTAATAAATTAAATGAATCTAATTTACATGTTGATTACAAGCTATATTACAAAGATAAGTTACCCAAGCGAGTTGCGAGAAGTGTCAGGAAAATAATTCGATCCTATCAAACAATTATTTAATAATCACTTGCAAAAATGTATGCGAACTCGAACGAAATTACTTAAAAAGAAAAAAAACCTCGGGCACATTATGATCTAATAGAATACGAATGGCCATCAATGCTGCTGCACCAGTTGCAATTTGAGCATCCTAGCCAAGAGTCGATTTAAGATTATTAATCAATTATTTATTGCAAAAATTTTTTTTTTTTTTTTTGCAAATATTTATTACCATAAGAAGGACATAACAATCGTGTATATTGTTCGGAAGTTTAGCGAAATGAAGCTTCAAAGTCAATATTAATTAATGGCGTGAATATAAAAATCAAAAAAAAAAAAATAATAATAATTAAAATTTATACCATACCAATGGTTCACCCGTAGTCGGGTCGGTTTGAATCAAAATTTTACCGATAAGAGCGTCCTTAGCAACTCTTCGTAGACCAGCTTCCATTATTCCACCGGCACGAAGAATGGAAACGCCGCAAATCTAATATATACTCCATTATATAACCTTTTTAACAATATATGTAATAGACAATAAATAATAAAGTAAGACAGGTGCCTGTTCATCACATCTTTTGCCCATGTATGGTAAATCAAGCGAAGTTATGACTTGATGTTCTTTGAAAGTAACTTCTGCTAAACCACTAACATTATAAAAAAAAAAGAATCCTTTTTAGAAAACTCTAACGTCAGGATTGTTAGCTAAAAAACAAGTGTTGTATTACCGCTCAATAACTAAGGTTGCAAGGCGTTCAGAATAAAATATGAAGTCATCACGTTGTGTATCGCGATCGCGCATAATTGTATGTATGCCCTATTAAATGCAATTATGTGAATTTCATGATAATTTACAAATACAAGTAAACCATTATATGAAACACACTTTCAATTGAGGTGTCTGATCGAGCACTATTATACTTTTTGGCAATTCTTCGTCACTATCTATTTTTTTCGAGAGTTCCCATCGAAAATTATAACGACATTCATTAAGTTGTCGTTGAATATGTTTAGTAATTAAGTCAATTGCTACTAAATTATCAAGACCACGAGGAATTATCTACCATAATAAATTTTGATGTAAATCAAAATTTATTTAAAAAATTTCTTTTTGATAAAAAAATAAAAATAAAAAAGAACATACTACATCAGCGTTCTTAACGGTAGGTTGTATATACTGATCGAAAGCAGGCTTGACGAAATTAAGATATTGCTATGCACAAAAGATATGTATTTAATCGATTATATTTGTAACCCAGTATTAATAAATCCAATTAATATTACATAATACCTGTAAAACACCGCCTATATCACGTCCACGTTGCTCAATGTCCCGTTTCACTGGATAATTTTTATATAATCCTTTTAATACTGCGAATTATAAAATAGAAATTTAAAAAAAATACACAAATGAATTCTCGCGTACATCGACGGACAAGCCGAATATCAGAATCAGTATCCACAAAAATCTATTATACAAAAGTGATTAAAATGAATATTGAAAATTTAGAATTGTATATAGCAAATTAATTGCAAGAATAGTAATCTGTAAATGGTATACACTTAACAACCTTCAAATCCATCAGATCGGTAATTCTACGATCATAGAGTGCAAAAATACCTTCAAATATAATGACGTTTGCACCATACAAAGTATTTGCTTGATGAAGTCTTCAAATTACATTTCCTTAGTGAAATGAGAAGAGCTACTAAACAATTTGAATTCAATAACTTTATATATTTACCGAGAATGTGTCACGAAATCATAGATCGGGACCTCAACTCTTTTTCTAAATTGATTACAAAAAATATTTTTGTTATATTTCTTTTGAAAAGCTGCATAAACAAAAAAAAAAAAAATTTATGGATCCTTACCCTTCTTTTAAATCTTTTAAATTTTCCAATAGTAAATCAAAATCGAAGGCATTGGGATGGTCAAAATTATAGTTACTTTAATATTTGAAATAATAATTACATTAAATAAGTATATTAAATAAGTATGTTAGAAACTACGCAATGATTTTCGTCAGAATTTACAATGGCACCATTGGAACTATGGACATACCAGTTTAAAGCCTCGATCTTTTGTTCAGGCGTTAAAACTTTATAATAAGAGTCCATGCTTAAAACCACTACCCATGGTACATTTAGGTTCGTGATTATTCGTCTATAGAATAAACTCGGTTAAATTATAATAAACAGAATACCTATCCATCATCCGTTTATCCATTTATCTATCGGATATCCAGATCTGAATTTATTCGGATATCCGTTTTACTATTGATATCCGGATCATTATCCGAATATTTGTCGGATTATCTGGATATCAATAGTATGTGGGTATCCGGATAAATTCAGATTTGGATATGGATTTATCCGGATTGGGAACTCTAATAATAAGTTCTATGGAATTCAAGAAAAATTGTCACGAAGGAAAAGCTGGAACATACTCTGAAACACTAGTTTTTCCACTTCCACTACCACCAGCAACACCAACTATGTAAGAATCAAATTTTGTGCCATCCCATCTATGAAGCGAGACAGACTTCAATACAAGTACACTGGCATTAGGAATTTCCTGAAAAGTTTGAAATACCTGTACCAAGGACTGGTGAAAGAACCAATACAATTTAGAAATTTAACGATAATTAGAAATTCTAAACAGACAAAACTCACGATTTGCCTTGAATTCCAAAAAAAGTATTTTTTTTATGTTCTAGCATCTTAAAGACTTTGATAGTTCCGAATTTAACAATCTAACTCTGTACGGTCATAATAAATCGGTGATCAGTTGATCAGGTGTAACATGATATTTGGTTGTTCTTGCTGTTGTACGAGATGTATAAGGTCATGAGAAAAACACATTTAACTCCCGGACCTAAAAAAATAACAATTTTGGCGAAGACAATGGTCAAAAACATTAAATCATTAAGCTGCAAATACTTTGCTATATTCCTTAATAGTAATTTAAAACAATAAATTTCCTTAATGAAGACTCAATTAGGGATTACGATTATACTTTATGAGGCAAGTGCCTTTTATTACCCCAAAAACTGATTAGTTATTCGCTAGTTTTTTTATTTTTTTTAACTATGGTTACATTTTCTCGATAGACTAATAGCTCACAATGTTCTTATAAAAACTTTTGCTTTAAGCCTTGGAAGAATTTATCTTTCTTATTAAGCAAACCAAGAATGAATCGATCAATAGTTACAAAAAAACAAAAGCTAAAACTTGGATGATGAGTAATCGATCTATCCGTTTCTTAGCAAAATTAATGATCATCATAGTAATGTTGGTTCAGGACAAGGTGTACGAAATTAAGTAGAAGATTTTTTATCTACGTATTGCCATAAATTTAACGAAGGACGTTCCGAACCTGTGTTAGTTTTTCTTACTAGTTCGCCTCTTCTTCCTTCTTGATATCTAGCTTTTTTACATCTCTTCTGTTATAAAGTTTACTGGTTCTGTAGGAGAAACTAACAAAGCTTCGTAGAACAACCTCCTGTAGGGAGATGCAGGAGAAACTGGTTGGAGTATAAATACGGAGTGCTTTTTGGTGCACTTCTTATAATAATTAATAAGATTGTAATAAAAGTTTCTCTTCAGCGTCGAAAACCATACTTCCCAATCAATGAGATACACCTTTACGTGGTGGTTGGGACAAGTAGGAGAAATAATCTCCGAAACTAAGTATCTCAAAAACTTATTTATTTGTTGTTTCTTATTTAAAAATTTTCGTATCATTGCTGTTTACAATTTTTATACCCTTATGATATTTCCAGGGTACTGCTGCTCTAAGGCCGTTCGAAATTAATTCTTCGGTTAACATCACTCCCTCGAAAAATGAACAACCAATCAAAACGCTGATTAACTTTCACTAATCACTTGATTTACATCGACCAATCATATTTGTTCATTCTACATGTTCGTTTCATTTTATCTCCCTTCTCTCAAGAGTTTTAAAAGTGATGTTAACCGAAAATTCAACTGCAAGCAGCCTAACTGAAAATCCTGCTGAAATTAACAGATGATGTATAAATAATACTTTAAAATCAAAATTACAACAAAAGAAATTCCAATTTTATCCCAATAGACTATATTACATCAATAATTTATTATTCTGCTCATAGAATTCTGTACAGATTCTGCTAATATAGTGCTTTCAAAAAGGCGTAACCTTATCATTTTTATGACGGTTATTGATGGAAATTTCGGTTGTCTATTGATTATATGTTGAGCAGTTATATTTTCTAACGTATTCGTTGAATTCTCTTAAAATCAGAAATCGTCTAATTTCTCATAATTTTACATAGCAACATTATCGGCAGAGGTAACACTTTTTTGCAAACCGCAATAATTTTGGAGACGGCCAGAGGTATATCTAAAAAATGAAAATCGATTTTACAAATAGGTGTAATTGTGTAGGAACTAAAGTTATTAAGCGAAACCTAGTAGTTTCGCAGTTGGCAAAAGGCGAAACCTAGTTTCAACGTTCGCTAAAAAATAATAAATAAATAAAAATGGCGAAACTAGTCAAAGATGGCGAAAGATGATAAAACTGGTGTAAGGTGGTGAAACTAGTGAAACAACAACCTGGATTGCGAGTAGGGTAGGTGGCATGAGGTCCTGGGCATGCCTTTAAGTGCCCCTATCATGTGATTATAGAAAGAATCATCATAAATATGATTGATCAATATCAGAAATAAAATTTACAAAATTACAGAATTACAAGAAATGATATTGCAATAGAAATTTGTTTTAATTGGTTGTTAGTCCAGATCGTCAAGTTGATCATGATTAGCTGGTAAATCATGCCTTATAAAATATGCTAGCTCACATGCATATTAATGATTTATATACTAGAGGCATGCCCTAAAATTTTACTGTGCCTCCTACCCTAATTGCGAGTGTACGTAATTAGTAAAAATAATAAAGAATCTTTATTATTTTCAGAAAAACTCTTTCAGATCCTAAAAAATAATTTACAAATATACCGGAAACTACCTCTTATAAGTCCGGTATAACGGGTTTTACTTTAGCGACGGATATACTAAGCAATTAATAACAATGCCGATTTATGCTTAAGTAAATATAGGGTTTGTTGCGGTTATGCTTTTAAGAGGATTAGGGTGATTTGCAATTACGAAAGAGGCAAACGGTTAAATGTATATGAAGATACAAGTAGTCGTATAACAAGTTTATGATTTATACTCCAAGTTACTCATGAAAACACTAACTGTTTACTAATTATTCCCGGTATCTGTATATGAAGACATAATTATTCTTTAGGGAATTGTCAGTTGTATTGTTTATTTAATAAAGTGTTCAAGTTGTTCGTGTATGAATACATGATTATTCCTTTATTATTGAGTCGTTAACTTCTTTTACAAGAGCAATATTTGAGCTTATTTATGCATTTCAGTTAGTATAATCTTTCTATTAATACATTTTTATACAATTTAGTTTTACCAAACATTTTCTTATGCTTAATTAAAGTTATTAATTTTACAGGTGTTCAATAAGACCTCTAAAGCTGTTTATGCTATTAGCTTTGTTAGTGCTGTTAGCTTTGTTAGCAATTTTAGCATCATTAGCATTATCAGCTTCTTGATATGATGCTACATTATCGAGGTTAACAATACTGGTAATTGTAGTCGATTTAGCATTAGCTGATAAAATCGACTAAGCCAACTTCACATATACTTTTTAGGACTGACTCAAGCCTGTCCTAGACAAAAGTCCATATGCATTTCTTTTGTTCCAATTTGTGATTCATATAATTTACTAAATGCATGCTATTTGCTTCAATTGTGATTAGGAGGCATTCATATGATTGGCTAATTTATATAAAATTTTATTTTATTATTACATGTATAGACTCGAATCAAGGACCAAGTCCTAATCGAAATCCCTATTTACAAAGTCTGGACTGAAAGAATTGAACTTTTAGCTGTTCTAAGTAAATGAAAAATTGATTCGAGGGTCAGAAAACTAAACTTTATAATACAGTTGCAGCCACATGTTTTGCATCACCCTAACATCTGAACTTGAGATTAAATAATTTTATCAATAGACAATGAATAATTATAAAATTTAATTATTAAATTTATTAGATATAAAGTAATATAAATATATAATTTTTTGGCTAGTTATTAATAAAGAGCTTGCAAAAATAAAACTTATTAAATTTTTAGCGATGCATTTCTTTTGATTGTTTTTTTAAATATAAATTTTGCCAATTTACAAATAATAAAAAAACAACAAAGTAATATTTTTTTTTATAAAAAATTTTTTACTATTTGGTATAACTCTTCTTGCATTACAAACATTCATTACTCATTGTAGCATGCTTTCAATTAGCTTACTAAGATAATCCATATCCATTTTAATCCAAACCTTCTGAATTACCTTCTAAAACTTATTCAGATTAGCAATTTCTACATGTAACTGTCTTTTTTGTCTGTCAATTTCATTTTACAAATGCTCGATAGAATTTAAATCAGGTAAATAAGGTGACCAATCAAATATCTCAATACTATTATAATAGAATCACACTTTAGAATTAGTAGCTGTATGCTTTGAATTATTATTCTGTTGAAAAATAATAATATTTTTTTAATCTATACTATTAGATTGTTTCTAAAAGTCTTCACTTAATATTTAATGATACAGATTTTCATTTATTGTTCTATAAATTCATACAATATTACCAATTTTAAAAGAGAAAAAGTATCCCTATATCATAATACTACTGACTCTATACTTCTTTGTAGAGATTATATTTCTTTTATAAATAGTTCATTTAGTTATTTCCAAAAATACTGATGATCATCCGAACCATATATATTGAATTTGAACCCATCAGACTAGATAACATAGCATCAGTCCTTAACACTTTAATTTTTATATTTTTTAACAAATTTAAACTATTTTTTTACAAGTTCTTTTAGTTAAAATTGACTTTTTATACTTAAGACAGAACAAAAGGCTATTTCTTTGCAATCTACACTTTATTATAGTTCACTTACTTCAATGTTTTCATAAATTTTTAGATATTTTTAAATTTCTATTGTATTTAAACATATACCAGATGCAAGTAAATATATAATACTTCATTCATCTTGATTAATAAATATTCTTGAGACTTTATATTTTGACAAATCTTTTACTAAATTAGTTGTCTCTGCTTTATTACATGTTTGGACTATTAATAATTAGAAACATTCTTTTTTTTTTATAATATAGCAGAAAAAAAACCTTCTTTATAATGAACATATATTCTTAAAAGTTTTTTATCAAAAATATAAACCATTATAAGTTTTATAGAAGGGTAAAAACTACAAGCAAAAATGCGAACAAAAATATATAATTTCAAATAATGATATAATATTTGCTTTGAAAAAAAAATTAAAAGAAAGCTTATAAGATTATTTTTGATAAGCAATTAATCACATTATTTGCATTACTACTTTTGGAAATCAAAAAAGTAAAAAATCAGAATTCATATTACTTGCATAATTTCAAAGATAAACTTTGATTTTTACACCTCTATACTTCTAAACTAACCAATTTTTATGTCATTTTCATATATATGTCACAAAATATGATCTTTTTTCATTCTTGTTTCAGGTGATGCAAAACATATAACCACAACTCTAATGTAATGGTGGAAAAATTCAAGATATATTATTTCACATACCATACGCTAAAAGAGATCAAGTTTGCTTAGTTGTATCAACAAATTTAGATTGACTACAAAATTTAACTTGTCATCAACTATTGTCATGCCTAATAGTTAACCAATCATATTCATTTAAAATCTCATGCTTGAGATTTTAACCAATTAGAACGATCGATTTCGACTTAGTATCGACTTAGTATCGATTGATAATTATAACTAGCCAATCACAATAAGCGTATTATTAGAATTTTATTGGTCAATACATAATGCACGTGCATTACACTAGTATATGGCTTTTGGGCTCACCGACAGCTCACTTCTCTGACAACACATTTCACCGACAGTAGAGTGTCCAGACTCGTGCAAATTAAAATGCATTTTATGCAATATAAAAAAAAATTGATTATACGATATCAGTGCAATTAAATTAGGGATTAAAAACAATAGCGATACTAATAACTAGCAATTATTACTATGCCGTACCGTAACTGTTTAAGTAATTACAAGTCAAATTTAGATCAAAAAAATCACATACTATGTGTATTGGCATTTATTATGCGATATTAATTTGGCACAAATATTGGACTAGTTACATCAAAAAGATAAATTTACCACGTATTTTATGTACCTAAAATGTAATTGCACAAGTCTGAACACCCTAACCGATAGTTCATTCCCCCGACAGCCTACTCCACAGTAGAATATCCAGCTATTAATAGTCTAAATTCTTAGCAAAAATAGCACGCAAAAATAACCAAATTAGCAAATTAGTAATCATTTACAAACGAAAGGAAAGCAGTGTTAAAAATTCGGTACAAATATGCTGTGCAAAAAAAATTTTTTATACATGAATGTTATTCTATGTTTTATGCAATTGCACAGCCTATTGTTAATTTTGTGCAAATAACAATACGTGCACAACGAATTTTCAACACTGAAGGAAAGTCTTATAATTGTTGGATGAAATAGCAAATTTTGCATCTTAACACAAAAACAATATAACTAGTTATTTGTAGCAATTTGGTAAAAATAGCGCTATTTTAGATGCTACGAATAGCTGGACACTCTGCTTCCCAGACTTAACTCTTCTGACAACCCATTTCTCCGACAGTTCATTTCGTCGACAATTTTGCCGATGTTTGGTTGGGTTGGCTCGCTTTGTAGTTAGCAATGGCTATAGGTAGATTGTGAAATAGAAAGTTTGCAAAATAGGATTGTCGGCGAAATTAACTGTCGGGAAATGGGCTGTCGGGGAATGGACTGTCGGCGAAATGTATTGACAGAAAAGTGGGCTGTCAGTGAAATAGCCGTCAGTGAAATATGGTGTCGGTGACGGTGAAATCTACCAAATCCATGTCGCGCACTGTAGGTTTTAAGCGATCAAATGGATTCATTTAGTCTGATTTCAATAACATACTATGCGAAATTAATTTAATAAATTATTTATATTTTTTAATAGATAAATAATATCTTCCTATTCTTTCTGATCTATTTCTAAGATCCTTATCGTGAACTATAGTAATAAGCATTTCTGATAAAGTCTTTACAAAAATGTAAAGAGCAAGATAATATGGGATTAAATACGGGTTGTAAACTAGACAATAAATTGAATATAAAGAATTAATGCAGTTAATATCGATATAAACTCAGTAACTATTGTGACAGATTAAAATAAAATTTGCCTCATTTCGATTATAAAATTACGCGTTTGATAAAATTCTTTGAGAATGCGCTTGGTAAGTTTTAATTATGATTTAGAGTTGGGATTATTTAAAAGAGGCCACAAATTTTACTTTAATCTGACTTCATTTTGATTAGTAACAAGTGAAACATACATTTTTGATAACCCGTATCAAGTCCTTCGCCCTCAATTTTAGAACTTTCCGCAGTACTAAAAATAGAAAATATGTATTCGTGAGATAAATGTTGGTAAGAACTTTTAAAAAACATCAGATTCGAACATACCCATGAACTAAAGAATTAAATACCAAAGCAGTACATATTAAACAATATAATGCCAAAGAAATTCGATGTATTTGTGACCTCGTCCACAAACTTAATCCGACATATTTATTTGGTATACTTAAAATGTCAACTCGTTGATCTGGCGGGTAAACATAACATACTAAAAACATTGGTGAATGCCATAATGCTGTGAATAAAGCATTATATCCTTTTCTTCGAAGTTCTAAATACAAAGCAACTGCCACAAGGGATGTAAATATAAAGTAGATAATCGCGCCACCAATTAATCCCCACACTAATCTAGAAGCAGCGCAAAAATCAAATTGTTCTATAATAAAACGATCCGTGCACGCATCGAACAACACAATACTATAAGTAGAAGTTGAAACACCGGCTTTGGCATTCTTAAGAACATTGTATCCTAAAAGAAACACATTAACAGCAAACATCTATACAAAGTCAAAAAGTATGCAAGAGTATAATGTTATTATGTGTTCACTCAAGCGTCATATTTATACATACATACGTACGTACCTCGTAATATTGCACTATGCGGCTTACCATTTCGCTATTAGTTATCACATGACCATACTCAGGCGGTCGAAAAAACCAACCGTCACTTGATAATAAAGTTTTCACTTCATCATCAGCTTGTTTGAAGGCGACAGGTGTTGGATGAAAAGAATTGACGGAAAATTGTTCTGTTCCATACGTATTCATTGTTTTTTTATCAAAATGATGAAATGTTAACATACAATAAAGGATTTAAATGATGTATCTATATAGTTTTTTTTATCAAGAGTACAACCAAAGCCAAGGAGCATACACATATTTATATTAAACGCGCTTTGATCTAGCATAATGAGATTACACAATTAATGTTAACCAGTGCTTTTTATCCAATTTAGGTATATATAAGAATTTAGTACGATTTAATCAAATCATCAATGTTTCGTAATGATCTTATACATAGGGGTAGACGCATGAAACATACATTTATTTTCTTTATCATAACCAATATTACTATGTCGACATATAAAGTTAATGTAGTTGCAAGCAAATTATTATTGCATCTTGTGAACCATCAGATACAACATCATGGAGCGATCCGAAATTTCCGGAAATGGGCCAGGAATATGCATTCAAGCCGATCAAAATCTTGCGGATTGGCGTTGGTTTATAGTAGCGATCCGGTTGGTAAAAAATTTTCCGATACAATCCGAATTCACGTTTTTGTAGCAATATTCTCGACACATTCATTTCCTTGTCTTCATATCGACAAGCCTATCAAATATAACAATAATCCATTCAATCATACATTCATACCATGCAGTTCTAAGTTAAACCCATTTCATGCAATCGTTAATAGCCTTAGTTTCACTTGTTTTCCTTGGATTGTTACTTCAAGGTCACGTTTTTTCCACACTATACTCTATTCGTGTTATTTTCATTACAATAGGTACCTTTTCCATAATCAGTATACTGTATCTTTAAATTTATCTGTTCTTTCATAGGTACGACTTGTCATTATACATGTTGGCAAAACTACAAATTCTCAAAATCCCTCCCGAATCCCAAATCCAAATATAATAAATCGTCCCAAATCTCAATCCCAAACATAGTAAAATTCATCCCAAATTCCAAAAGTTTTGCCGTATACTTTGTCACATGATTGGATGAATGCAGGCCAGGAAATTATTAAAGGACTTGAAATCCGCAGAATAAATTGAGTGATTTTAGTTAAGTAAATCGAACTGAAAAGATGATATGCACCCAGAAATTAACAAGTGGGATTGCACCAGGTAGCATCGTAACGGTATAATGAACCTGCTCGAAGTAAGGATGGCAAAAGTTTGTTAAAAGCAGGTGATGATTATGATCCTAAACATATTCAAATCCAGAGTTAACTATTCGGCTTTAATTATCACCTGTTTTAAATCGGTTTAAACCCATCCCTAGCTCGAAGCAGACCGGCTGTTAAATAGGAATAGTGAACAAAGTCGATCAAAAAAGGTTGACTTGAGTCAATTATTAATTTCGGTTTTTAGCTGAGGCTGATTTTCTTCAACGTGACAAATTGCCAAATCATATTTCATAATATCCTCATCTATATACATAACAATAGGTTTTAAGTATCATGCTCTTTACTTTAAAAACTTAATTTTGATAATTCTGGTTACAGACTAGATATTGCCAGAGCACTAATTGGCCAGTTTATTAAGTCGGCTTTATAAAAATCGACTTGGTTAAGTCGACTAACCAATTCGAGTTGATTTAGAGAGGTCCCTCGCATATTAATGTAACGATGCGAGCACCAATCATAATATACTTTTTATTGGTTGATCACGCGACGTGATATTATCAATAATGCAAATCCGCTTAGAGCTTGGATCCGGATAAGCTTTTTACTTAATTAACTGATTTACGCATATCTGGATGCATTATGTCTTATTATAAAATGTTTTGTAAATGCTCATCCGTTATTCGGACCTAAGCATTAATCGTTAGGCCAAGTTATCCAATAAATTTTTAAAGACGCATGATCAGCATTAGATAAAGCACAACATATTAAATCATTCCGGCATGTAATTTTCGATTTTTTTTTCTTTTCTTTTTTTTGGTTTATCTGGGTTTTTAATGATTTCAATAGTAGGTAGGTTCGTGATTAAAGATGCTGGCGAAATTAAACTAGAATAGTAAATAACTTCACTACTATTGGTGAAATTAATTTCACCAGCATCTCTATTCGTGATTTCAACAATGGGTGGATTCGTAATTTTAGCAGTATGTGATTTAGTAATTTCAACGTTGAGTGGTCAACAATGGGTAGGTAGCAATAAGTAGGTTAATGGTTCGATAATGGTGAAATTAAGATTTAATTGTAGGCGAGATCATAATTTCAATAATAGGTAGATTGGTGGTTTCGACAATGGATGGATTAATAATTTAATAGTAAATGTGTTTACAATTTTAGTACACGTCACTCTGATTATATCGATATCTGACATTTTTTAAAATGTTGATCTATATACTTAATATGAAAATACCTTTGGTTAAATCGACATCTGGACAATTTATTTTTTTGAGGTGTCGATATAACCAGAGTGACGTTGTGGGGCACAGATGGACCCTGGTCGGTTGGGGTTCATCACCTAATTCGGAAAAGAGGGTCGATCACATTCGTCGCATGCACCGATTGGTTGCATGTGATGAATGTAACGAATGTGATGGATATCAGAGATGTGTATTTGGAGGAATATCAGTGGGATACGACGTATCAATAGAACCAGAGATATCAGTCGTATCCCTCGCATAATGTAAATAGAAAATTTTAATTATAAATAAAGACCGAAAGGCCCTTTGGGAAGAACAACTTCCCCTTTGCAAACAATAAATAATCGATACAATTCATAACTATTCAAATAAAACTGCTTGACGATAATAAATACACGAATAACTTTATTAATCATAAATGTTGTAATTGATCTGTCCCTAACTTGTAATCAAGTAACGTACGCTAGTATTTACTCAACACCGACCTGACACTTTCGTTACCGGTAAAACCCAGTTATTCCTAAGTAAACCACTCGCCGAATCTAACACGCCTCCTTCGACCCGAATTACCCTTCCAAGTGGTTACACGAGAGATCCGACCGATTAGCGACTGACTCGCCGTTTTATGTTTACAATGTGTAATGATTTTTATTACTTTTTATAAAATTTTGTGTGATCTTATTATTTGAATATTATAATGCAAATCAGAAATTATTTAATTATTTGTAATTACTAATTTCTTGAGTATAATAGTGATAGCAATAGTATATATATTGTAAGTCTAATATGTAGGCCTATTGTCAGACCCTTAATATACTTTGTATTCTTTTTTTTTGATAAATTTTAGTAATTTGATTAGTATATATGTTTTTTTACATATTTGTTATTTAATTTATTTACTTAACTTTTTGAAGGTGTTTTATTTTTTTTTTCAGTATTAAGGTGATCTCTTTGGTTCTGACTTTTTATTAATACTTATATTGGGTACATGTTCATATAGATGTATCTATATTGAACTATCAGATGAGTGTACAACTGATTACACATGTAACTTTTCTATATTATCTATTTAAAGAGTCTGCCTAGAGGTTCTTCACTAATTGTTGTACCTAACACCTCTGTTTAGGTGTTTTATTTAATTCTTTTGATCTGATCCTGGTATTAACTTCATCAGGTTATTTGATTAAGATTCTTTTGTCTTTAACTATAGGATTATAATCTTTAAACTATTTTTATTTTTGAGATAAACCTATTAGAATGAGTCATATTCACTTTTTATTGTTAACTTGGTTTGATATTATGGTCAAGACTAATACTTGTAGCCAGAATTATTTATTAAACTATTATTACTTTTATAAAGTTTATCCAAACTCTGATACTTATCTTTTCAATATATTCTCTATCATCTTTTACTAATCACAGCTTAGAACTAACAAACTCTTTAGACTTATAATCCAGATAGTTTAATATGAAATAATTATATTTCTTTTTTTTTAATAATTCTAGCAAGCTAATTAGTTATATGTTCTTTTATACATTTTATCATTTGGTTTATCTGATAATTTCTATGAAGATGTTTCATAGGCTTCTATTGGTTTAACAGTATCATTGAAAATTTGTACTACTTCTTTACTTAGAATTTTTAAATAGATTTTTATCTTTTTAGTTTCTTAACCTTTTAGACTTAATGATCTTATTACAGATTTGTATTAAAGTCTTATATGATACTAGTTTTTTACATTCTTTTATATACATATAACATTATATTTTATATAAATGCCTTAAGTTCCCAATATCAGATGAGGCTTGACTTGGTATAAAAAGATTACAGATATTCAAAACTCAACTGATCAACTAGAGACAGTTATTATAATACAAATATAATTTTCAAAATTTATTATCTGTAAGAATTAAACCTTAAAGCTGCCATTTAGGAGTTGACAACCTATCTACTTCATTAAGTTGTCATATTTCTTTGAAAGATATTTTATAATTTTTTATTAATTTAATAATATTATTAAAATTTTATACTATATTTTTATTTAAATAGTTTTTTAACTGTTCAATTTTTTTAGTTTTTTATGTTTAGTAGTTTTATTATAAGTTTATATTAAAGATTTTATAATACTAATAAATATTTTTTTATATTTATATAATATTATATTTTGCATAAATTTTTTTTTTTTTTTAAATATTAAGGTAAGTACTTGCAACCTAGAATTTTATTGATAGTATATTTGGCTAATGATTGCATTATAATCACAGAAGGCAACTATAGAAAGAGTGTACAACTAGCCACTCATATAACTTTAGCTATTGTCTGATTTAAGTAGTCTGCCCAAAGGTTCTACACTAGCTGCCATTTCTGGAACCTGCTTGTAGATTCCCTGTTTAAATACTCAGTTTCTGTATCTACCTATTTACCTCTGTCTACCAACAATCCCAACTGATAGCAGTGAATATATGCCATGACCACTAAGTCTTTAAAGCAGTTCACTCATATGAGAAACTTTTGAACTTGTACTAAATCTTCTAGAATTTTCTGTATCTCATTCTTATAGCTGACCTGGTATTGCTATGGCTGAGACCAATACTGGCAGTCAGAGCATATTATTAAATTACTATGCCCTTGTAGAGTTCACCTCTACTCTGATACTGACTTCACAATATATCTTTACTACTTTGATATTCAATTCAAGTTCCACCAAACTTTCAAACCAGATAGCCTAGAAAGGCAGGCCATAATCATACACCTCTGGTTTACATGTTTGCTGGCATATAATCTTTTCCTCTGGAATAAATCTTAGCAGTCTGATTGGTTTTATTCAGCCTCTCCTCAAAGGCCAGCTCTTTGTCTAGTTTCACAAATTCTAGTTTTGTTTTATAGATCTAGTCTTTATAGTAGCACTATCGAAAGTTTGAGTTATCTTTTTACTTGGGTCTTTTAAGTGAGTTTTCATCTTACTTCTTTTGGTCCTTATAATTTATACAGCCACAAGAACTTATTGTAAGTTTGCACTGCCTGATACCAGTTTGCATTTCTTTGTATAACTACAGACCTTGTCCCAAAAGACAATGTTATATGATCATTATACAAATAATATATGACTTGTCAGTTATGCTAATGTGACATAGATAACAGGTGTCTTATCTTAACCAATTGTGCAAGACAATTAACTGTAACACAGAGAGAATTTTCAAATTTTTCATTGATACTAGGATTTTAACTCTGGACATATCACTTAAGGGTTGACAACCTGACCATTTCACTAGGTTACTACACTCCTTATTTTGCATAAATATCTTAAGCTTTTATTTAAGATAATATAATTTAAAATTATAAATACATTAATCTAACTGATTATTAAAATAGTTTACTATAATATAAATATAATTTACAAATTTTATTATAAGTAAAATTTAAATATTAAATTTGTTACTTGGAAGTTAATAACTTATTTATTATATCAAGTTATTATATTCTTATTTTTTTTTTTTTTAAATTAAAGTCTCTGTCTTTGAAGATTGATGTTTTTATTTAAGTATTTGAATATAAATACCTCTAAGAGCTTCTATATATAGAAGCTTACAACTAGTTACATGTGCATTTTTAATGTCTAATTTAAGTAGTCTGTCTATATATTACTATTGTAACAGGTTTAATGGATGAGTTCAGAGATGAGGCAAATGCGACAAATTGTCACTAGAAAAAGGATTATGCTATATAATGTTCCTCAAAGATAATAGAGGCGGTTTTACGATTTGGCACAAGGTCAAGGCGATCGTAGAAAAGTGTTACAAGATGAGTATTATGATTTTAAAAGAGCGTTGGTTTATTTTTCAAGTCAAAAAGGGCTTTATTAACTTTATTAATATTTTGTAGAAGAATACAATTATATTATTAAAGGTTATTTTGAACTATGCTGGACTATTCTGAGATGTATTGAGATGCCTTTCGGAAAGGAGAAATTCCACCCTTTTTATAATAAATCGAACGAGAGAAGAGCCCACGCAAGACCACGACTCTCCTCATTATTATTAACACTTTCCAACCTTATTTGTTATAACTTTTAACCCCTTCCGCACAGCCTTTTGTTACTTTAACATTTCTCACAGCTTCAATTGAGAAATGTTTCAGTTACATAATCCTAGGGCTAGAACTCATCGTATTGTCTTCAATCGCACCCTCTTGACATCGCCTCACACCTAACCCAAGTAGGGCAGATGAAGTTAACGTCC